GCGTGCGCTCATAATCCCCGAGCTTGGGAAGCTGAAAACAAGAGAATCACTACAAGTCTGATCTGTGTAGTAAGACCCTGTAGACCCTGTAGACGCTGCAGTAAATAAAAAAAAAAAAAAAAAGTGAGGCTTTGCATATGCAGTGACTTAAAAAACCACTTTCAACACCAAGTCCTCGAAAGGCGCTGCCACCACCGCCAGCCCCAATTACCTGCGCATGCTTGGAGACCCAGTGGCGGAGGACATTCAGGACCCGATTGGTGGCTGTCCTGCGTATGATGAACTCTTTGTCGCACATTCTCTCCATGTTGTTGAATCCTGAGGAGGAAAAGAAGTGCAGGTGTGGGCAGGGCCAGCGCCCAGAGGAAAGCCACTGACCTGGGGCCTATGGGCTGTGGAAGGTGCGGAGGGCGCTGAGGCCAGGAGCAGCCCCGCTCCCCGGCTGTGCCCTCAGCAGGGAGCGCAGGGCACTGCAGGAGCGACAGCACACGCTTGTCCTACAGCCCTGCTCCAGCCGCCCTGAGGGCGCCTCCCTCCCCCTTCTGGCTCAGGCGCAGAGCCTAGAGGAAGGCTCAGGGAAGCGCTGCAGGAAGCGCAGCCTTAGACCCGGCCTTAGACCCGGCCTTAGACCCAGCCTTAGACCCGGCCGGGCCACGACGGAAGCCGAGCGTCAGCAGGTGGAGAAGCTCACATCCAGGCATGCGGAGGACCCCGGCGCTGGGGGGTCTGTCCAGGGGGAGCAGGACAGCACCAAGTGCTAAGTGGCAGACTTGACATGTTTTCAGCACAAAAATCATAAATACATAGGTTTAGTAATTTGTTTTATACAATCGTTTCACAATGACTACATATATCCCAATGGACCACACCGTGGCCTGTAAATATACATTTTATGTAATTATTACTTGTCATTTAAAATAAGGCAACTATTTTAAAAAGCCAGACTGCTTTGAGTCGAGGTGCTTGCCCCAACCCTGCAAATCACCTCCCCTCTCTGGTGCTCGCTGCATTGTCGGCCTCACGAGCTAACAAGCTGTCCTGGGACTGTGCATTAATGTTGATAAGCACTGAAGCTCCTGAATGCAGTAGCTCGAGTGCCAGCTGGTAACACGGGTGCACG